GTATAGCTGAACCAGACAATGGGATTGACTCCATACCACTCACTGGTCCAGTATCAAGTTCAAGGTGTGGTATAGCTGAACCAGACAATGTGATGGACTCCATACCACTCACTGTTCCAGTATCAAGTTCAAGGTGTGTATAGCTGAACCAGACAATGGGATTGACTCCATACCACTCACTGGTCCAGTATCAAGATCAAGGTGTGGTATAGCTGAACCAGACAATATGATTAACTCCATACCACTCACTGGTCCAGTATCAAGATCAAGGTGTGGTAAAGCTGAACCAGACAATGGGATTGACTCCATACCACTCACTGGTCCAGTATCAAGTTCAAGGTATAGTATAGCTGAACCAGACAATGGGATTGACTCCATACCACTCACTGGTCCAGTATCAAGTTCAAGGTGTGGTATAGCGTTTTAGGGATAAAGGTTTATGTATCAAAAATTCCATAAAAATAATTTTGTATCTTATTTGTACTGGTTTAAAAACTCCTATGTAATTTTTAATTTATTTGAGATTATCAATATCTACATATATTGTAGTGAACATGTATAGGACCAACCAAATAAAGTTTGTTACTTGTGTACATACCTGAATAATTAAGAGTAGGTATATCGATGAAAACATATTTTTCAAAATACAGTTAAACCTGTTATATGAGGCCATCAAAGGGACTGGCAGAAATTGGCGGCTTAAGACAGGTGGCTGCTAAAACCAGGCTTACCCGAAAATCACAACCAAGTTTTCATACAAAAATAAGCAATAAGCCCAGGGAGCCGACACATACACACCGACTCAAAGTAGGGGATTGTGGGCTTATTACCAGGCATGGGCTTATTGCTGGATTAATAAGTAATGGTAACAGATTTCAGCATTTTTCTACTAATACATTACAATTCATCAGATCTTACAGTACATAACTTTATTTCTAATTTATCTGTAGCTCGAGTTCCATCGCTGCTTATATATGTATACAGCATTTGATAGAGAGTTCTACCTAGCTAATGTACATGTCCACAGTATATAAATAGGTCTCCCTGTTGGAGAATGCTTGTGTGCTGGAGATGTAATTTTCTGTTTTGTAGTAGGACAATGCTCCAATGACAACCTTTTTATGATACAGTGTATGAATTAGGAGACTATATTTAATCTATTATCTCCTCACAGGTGAGTACTTCAGCTGGCGTATCTCCTGGGAAATATACTGTCCAGTATGCTGAAAAGCAGATGCAACATAGAAAACAAATGCGAGCTAGAGGTTAGCAACCATCTACAAAACACAGACGTTTGATATTGAAGCAGGAGCGAGTCATTACTCAAGGAGCTCATGAGGCTTTAGAGGGAGTCTCGTACCAATCTGGTGAGTATTTCATTTGCAGTTAAAAGTTGTCCAGCAACCTAAACAATCTGGTTGTAAACCTAACCATAATATTGTCTTGTATTTGAGTCTGTTGATGAGTAATTCACATTTCACTTGAAGTGGTTTTTTATTCTCTACTTCATTTTATAGGCGTTGGTCATGAAGCCAATGTTGACATTGAGAAGTTTACCTGATGCTGTTCCACGTGGTCATTTCAAAGCTGTCAAACTGACATCAAGTGAAGAACCTACATTTATATCATTTGACTTGGAAACAGCTGATCTGAGTAAGTCAAATTTTACATTTGATACTGGATATGTGTTTTGATTTTACCATATGATCCTGTTATTATGCAGGGAAAAGAAAGTTTATAATTTTCTGAACAGCTTGTTATTATTTTGAAAATGTGTTATTTATTTACTTTGGTTTGGGGATCATGATAAACAGACTCAGGTACAGGGGGGTTGCTCGCAATTAAGCCCCCTCCCAACTTTTGGCCCAGTTTTTTTCTCAGGAGGGGGGTATTGGCGGTAAAATACGGTACCTTCTGATGCCCATTTCATAATAAGTTTAGTTTGTACACATTAAGACAGGTCGCTCTGATACAATTTTATCCATTATTAAGGAGGATTGAATATTGTGCACTATATCCTCTTACAAATATGATTTTTGTGTTTAGTTTATTGTTTTCTATAAAATGCTGTTTTTCTTTTTAGTTCGTGGGAGACTGATGCCCCATCCTACACAGATAGCAGCGGTTGACCTTCAATCTGGCANCGCTGTTTTTCTTTTTAGTTCGTGGGAGACTGATGCCCCATCCTACACAG